TCTATTTTAGATGCTCTAATTTATAGTTTTTAGTAGAAACCAGCTACTATTCTTATGCGTTTGGTATGTAGCCTCTGAAGAATAGCTTTTTAAAAAGTAATGAAACACTTAATATATTCATAGTTAAAAATTAAAATATATTAATCGTATTAAATTAACTGCCATTTTTTGGTAATAATAAATGGTTTTATTAGCGCTCCCCTGTTTACATCATTGAAAAATACTTGCTCTTTTAAATGGTGGACATCTACACAGATGGATTCATCATCAACTAATATTTCCTTGCAGTAATCACATCGTGTAGTATGAAGCACACTGTGAGCGACTGCTCCTGACATGTAATATATTGTGCATGCTTCACCATCTGCTGGATCGCTGAAGGCAAATGAGGCTGTGGATTGAAGTTGTTGGACGATTTCATTAGCTGCTTCAAATATACTAGTATCTTCAACGATGCCCACATCAATGAAATCATCAATTTCTTTGATTGACAACTTTGAGTGGTGTAACAATGACACCATTTTGATCTTTTTATCATTTTCAATAATTTGTCTTACAGAAACAAAATAGTTTCCTCCTGACATCTGCCGCAACCACCCAAACCTAGTTTCAATTGGATCCGACTGTAGATATCCAAGCTGGACATAATTAAAACCGATGATATCTAACAAATACTTGCTGCATTCAGCATAAGCAGAACAAGTTTGTTTCATAGCAATGAATGTTTCTCTGCTTAATTTATTTGCTTTCATCATTTCCCATTCTGACAAAAAATCTTTAAATTCTAACAGGAAGTGAATTTTCCAATCATTGGAAGACTTCACAGGATCCATATCACTGTTGATTTTCGCCTTGCCTTTGGATGACGTTTTAACATTCATTATATCCCAAAGCTTCTTGACCAACTTAACAAATTCACCTGTCGTCTTCCATTCATATCTGCCTTCATGATTTATATAATAGTCAAAAGCATCACATGTTGATTGACAAAATATTGAAGCAGCCAACTTAACAGAAACCCTCTCAATATTTGTTGGATTAAATATTGTAGCATTCAACTTGTGAGCTTTCTTCACTAGCATATTTAACTCATGTTTGTACAAATCTTCTATATCTGAAAACCGTGCAGTACCTTCAGATAGTTTAATAAAGTTTCTATTGAAAGATGGCAAATCAAAAGTTTTTCTGTTTAAAAAGTTGTTGTAAATATTTTTCAAATTGTGAACTGAATCAAAAAACAGAAATAATGGCTGGTTGTCAATAGGATTTGAGATATGGGCTTTTAGTTCTCCAGAGCATAAATGACTTGAGAAAAACTTCCTGTTTACAGCAGCATTATCTAGTGAAATTCCAATGATGGTGACATATTGCTTCTTTAAAACATTCATAACTTCTTGGTAGCATTGAAACATGTATGAAGAAGTTAGTTTATTGACAGGATACATGGCGATCATATCCTGATATTTATGACACAGGGATTTGATCATGAAACAAAGAATAGTACTTGCAACTTCCCCTTCAGTTGTTAAACCTAACATTTGTCCACCACAATATTCAACTCGTTTTGCAACATAAATTTCATCAATTATCAACACACACGTCCTCTCCAATTGATTCAACGAATTCAGCCTCAAATGCAGGTACCCGTCATTATTTAAGCCGCTATTTACTTTTACTTTCTTCGTTAATTTGTTCAATGTGTTTACTGATGGTAGGCACATAATATTTAATTCATACAACTTAACATAAGCTGCATGACTAGCAGCATATAATAAATAGCACCATATAATTTGTTGTGGAGTGTAAATTCTTCCAAATTTGTTAACACCAATCAGTTTTAGTTGGTCAATTAAAAATTGTAATTGTGATTTAGAAACTTTGTCATCAACAGAATCCAAGCAACATTTTAATTGTTGTTTAGCTGCAGCTTTGGCTTCATCAAAAGTTACTTTCGCATGATCAGTTTGCAAATTTTTAAGTCTAGCCATCACAATCAATAGCTGATTCATGGTGTCAACTTTTTTGTTGATGATGCCTTCAACAAATGATTTTGAAACTTCTCGACCTTTGTTAAACAGGGATATATTTTTTTGTTCATCTATGGTGATAGATGATTTGATATGAGGGCAACAGTTGTCAAAATGTATTTCATACAATACCAAACTGTTTTCGAAGATTTGATATTGGTATCCACTTGGAGCAGATGTTTCCTTTTTTAAACGATCTAGAATTTCTTCTAAACTCAAATTTATTATCTGATCACTTTTGTTGAATTCATTTTCAAGTTCATTCATTCTTTTTATTTCACCTTCTCGAATTTGTTGTAGGTCTCGGTAGATGCTCGATTGTTGATGCGTATGATGGTGCATTAAATATTGTTGGAATTGTTCCAGGCTTTAATTCTCGCTTGATTCTGGACTCACTATTGCTTGTTTTGTTTTTATATCTTGTTGAATTTGTATCAGAATATTTATCAACAAAATCCGAAGGTCGAAAATGCAAAGAGCACATCTTTGAATGTCTGCTTGGAATAAAATCCCTTCGTGGATTTGCCTTATTCAACTTTGCACAAAGTTCAGGATCATTGACTGGGTAGGAATGAAAAGACACTTTGTTTTCAGCATCTATCGCAGCATTTGATTTGTATCCACTTTTGCAACCATAGGCAGCACACTTGTTCACCATTTTAGGTAGTAGTTTACTGTAATTGTAATGTTAGTTTAAAATCATATTTAATATAAATCTTGAATAAATGTAAAATTTAATATATTATATTCTCAAGTCGCCCTGGTTATGATGTTAAAACTAGAAATCCAAAAGAAAAAAGATAGCGGCAAGTCCACTACTGCATTTAAACTTAAACAGGTTTACAGGTAGAGCATCATTTTCATTCATTCATAAAAATGCTCAACCTCATTTTTTTTGTGATAATAAAATGGACGTCAAAGGAGAAATAGACTAATAAAATATTCCTTAAATATACATATTAATTTTAGTAATTAAAAGTTTTAAGCAAAATTTACTTTACTTATCTTATTCTTAATACCTTAAAAATTAAAATGTTATTTATTTATGCAAAAAAACATAAATCAAATAATAACCAATATTAAATAAATTGTTGTTTAATAAATTCATTCATCTTCAACTTTTTAATCCAGAAATAGTTTTGTGTAAATTTAATTTAAGAAAATAAATCAATATATATAAAAATTAAATCTAAAATAAATGTTCTTTAAATAACTCCTAACTAACTAACCGACTGTGAAGTAATAATAATCGAAATTGCACTTTTAGCAAAAGTAAAAATTATATTGCTCCAAATTTAAGATGCTACGGAAATTTTTAAAATAATTAAAAAATGATTTAAGTTTGTTATAATACCTATTTTACACGATTTTATCACCAAAATAAAATTAAAACATTGGAAAATGGCAACAATCAACAAGAATATATTGGCATGCACGATCGGAACGAATAAAGAAAATTAAAGGAAGTAAAAAAAGATTAACAAAGAAATTTAACATGCTGCTAGTTAGTCTACTTGCATCTATGAATTCCAGTAGTTTAATATCAACCTATAAACTATATAAAATATATCTAATATTTATGTAATATAAATGCAATAGCCTAATATGGTCAGAGTTGAAAACCGTGAAACGTTCACCTTGCAGTCCAGATATATCGAGACGTCCATGGTTGGTAGCCATGCAGACATTTGTTTGTCTGGGTGTCTCTAGGACGAGGCATAGGGCGCTATATAAATGTAGGAAATGACATTATTATTATTTTTTATATAAAAAAATTAATATATAAAATACTACGTTCAATTAAAAAAGGTCTCTGAGGTGGACCGACAAGAGAGTTTAAACAAGATTTTCGATCAATTCAAAGCTACATGGAGTGTAGGAACAAATTGAACGAGTCTGTTGCTGCATCTGTTATTATGAATGCTCAAATTGGAATTAGCTTTCTTTTTATGTGCGAAAATGTCCAACTTTTGATGCTTTTAAATATAAACTAAAAACTTATTAAAATTGATTTCATGATTAATATTTTTTATGAACTATGTGTAATCTTCTCTTTTATGGACAATTTTAGTTGAACAAATTGAACTGATGTTTTATTTTTGGCTGGATACTAATTTAGTTAAAGATATTTCTTTTTTTGGTATCTTTATCATGATATTTTTATTTATCACGAATAAACCTGTTGAAAAGACGTTTCATAAACAAATTTTGTGTTTTGAAGCAAATTTTTAAATCACCAAGAAACTAAATTCATTTAAAAAAGCGACGTCAAAAATTATTTACACTACTGAAATAATGTATTTTTTAGGAAACCAACGCCGACACACACACGCCGATTTGAAGAGAGCTGCCAATCCGCTCTTGTTACGTGAGCACTGTCAGTCGTGCATTGTAATTTCTCAATCTTAGAACACGTTAATATGATTAGCAGTGCTGAATGATGGCTGCTGAGATTTTATCGCATTGAAGTGTTTGCAGGGAATGTGAGCTTGTGCTCGAGTTTTTACAGATATTTGTGGCTTAGTTCTTTTCTTCGCATACTTTGTTACTTTTTTCAATAACAACAACAACAACAACAATAAAATTTTATCTTTTTTGAAATAATAAATGAACAAATGAATAAATGAATGATTAGATTGAAAAATAAAGTAATGAACAAACAAACGTGTACATGTGCTGATGTTTCTAAAAAAGGTTTATCCTGTTATTTTTAAGCAATAAGATTAACTAGGTTGGTGACAACGTGCAAATCTTTTGTCAACTTGCTACGTGATTTTCATTTGTGTATGCATGTTTGTAAATGTGTGTTTGTGTTTATATGCGGTTTTATTTGTGTTTATTTTTGTATAAAATAAATTTTACAAAATATGTCTTACTTAAAAACTATTGCTAAACATTACTAACATTTGATAATACAGTCTTATAACGAACTTCTATACAATAAAAATCTCCATGTAACGAATTGTTGTTATGTCCCTTGAAATTTTACATAAAAAACTGTTTTTATAAAACAAAATAACTTCTCTATAATAAACAAAAAAAAAAAAAAATAAAATAAAAGTTATAAGAATTATCGACCAAAAAATATATCTGATGAAATACAAACCTCCTTATAACAAACAAAGAAAATTTCTATATAACAAATTTTTATGTTTCTTTGAATTTTACACATAAAACTGTTTTTATAGAACAAAAATAATTTCTATATAACGAACAAAATTTATAAAAGTTAAAAAGGTACGACCAGCAGACATTCTATGAACTTATATGAGCGGTGTTTTTGTACTTCTTTAACAACTTAGAACCATTTTTATTGTTTCTTTTTCTAGAATTCTAGTAATTTTTGCCTGTTCTACCTCAATCGATTTTCATGTAATCGGAATCATCACTGCATGGAATAAAGAATAAATTATACATTTAAAGTTTTATTTTTTCAATTATATCATATATCATGTGTATAACTTTCTGTTATCAAAAATAAATCCTTAGGAGGTTGTTTTCCATAAATATAGTGCATATAAACAGCTTTTAAGCAATATAGAATTTTCTCCAAACAAATTCTTTATAACGAAACTTTTTCTGTATAACGAAATTTTTTCTGAAACCCTCAAATTCGTTATACGGAGGTCCTACTGTATTTCAGTGTCTAACAAAGTGTTAGCATTTTTTAAAAGTATCATCAGTAGAGATTAGTCCAAAGTGACACCAGACACTTTTATAAAATCTTGTTGAACAAGGTAAACATCTTGCATTATTTTTTTAGGTGTTATGTTTTTAGTTGTATACATATAATGCAAGTATAAACATTTAATATCATGTTATTTTCCATAATTGTTATTATACTATGTATTTTTAATTTTTGTTATAAAAATAAATGATTACGATGTTGCTTTTTTTAAATTTTTATTACTATAAACACCTTTAAAGCCATATAAATTTTTTTCTCGAACAAGTTTTGTATAACTAAATTTTTGTCTAAAGAGACCATCATGTTGATGAAGTTTACTTTTCAACAGATGGTGGACATGGCTTGCTATTTTCTGTGTTGTGGCAGCAGCTGAAGTTTTGAACTCATTCACTGTGCAGTTGAAGGATGGTTCCATTTCTGAACGAATTCGATTTAAAAAACTGCTGAAGCATTATTATTTCAACAATGTGCATCCTAGAAGGCGCTTTTGAGGACTTTTCGAGAGAGGCGCTAAACAATTCCAGAAACAGATACAGATTTCTTTTTCCCTTTTTTTAATCTTCATTATTATTGTGGCTGTTATTATTTTGAAAATCCTATGCGTAGCTTCAGGTACGCTTGGGGTGTTCCGTTGAAAGCCTGTTCAGGAAAAAAAATGTTCAAGTCGCTTCTTGAAGAGTAGGATGGATGGTTGCTGACGAATGTCGGCTGACAGACCATTTCAGGTGAAAGAAGAACTGTAAGTGAAGCTTCTGTAAATTGTTAGTGTTTTCGTAATTCTTTATTAAAGATGAAGTATACTTTTCAACAGATGGTGGATGTGGCTTGCTATTTTCAATGTTAATCAACAAGTTAATTAAGTTCAACAATTGAACAGCAAATATTTTACTTCCATCTATGAAGGAATATTTATAATTAATTAAACAGTAAATAGTTTATTAATTGAATAAATGAACTAATAAATAAATAAGTTGATAAACAAGTTAATAAAAAATAAATTAATGTATGATCAAAATAATTAATACAAACATTTATTAATTCATGAATGAATAAATGAATAAACGAACGAACGAACAAACGAATGAATAATTGAACGAACGAACGAATGGTTGTGTAGTAGACACTGAAGTTATTTAAACAAATCAAATTATTATTCATTCATTCACTTTAAAAAAAAGAAAGACTTCAGCAAAGTGAACTACAATCGTTGAGGATGTTTTTAGCAGATTTTACCTGAATGAAACAAACGTAAGTAATTTTAACTTTAACTCCCGTGAGCACGAACTGCATTTGTAAAATTAAAAGATTTATTTAAACACATTTTTCAATCCTTAAATTATTTGCACTGATTTATTTTATCTTTACGTTATTTATCAGATTGACAAATTTGAATGCAATGATATAAAACTTTCAACGTTCATATGTGAAATGTGAAATAAAAATTAATTAAAATTAATAAAAGTGTTAAATGATGTCCGCTTGCTAGAGGCCTATAAATCTGTCTATTCCTCTGCTAAACTGTTTACGAGGCTGATATTTATTAATATATTAGCATTAATAACACTAGTGCAGTATAACAAACATTTATGACAGATTTACAATTATTAACATTCCATTAACTTTCCTGTTTACGATTCCAGCATATTAAAGTGAACAATAACTTGATGTTCGCTTTAGTATGAGTGCACGTGTGTGTGTGTGCGCGCGTGTTTGTATGTGTGCGCGTGTGTTTGTGTGTTTGTTTGCGTGGTCATTTATGTATCATTTTCAAACTGGGCAACAAACTTCTTTAAAGATCTTTTTTGAACACTTTAAAAAACAATTTTTAAAAATACACGGGAAAAATATATTATGAAAAATAATGGAACAATTTAGATTAACATGGGATGCAAATATTTAATGGCCACATAATGAGTTTGACAAAGGTCAAAATGATGTAACACGTGTAGGTACGTGAAATTTTCGTTATCGAAGAGGGCTTGCTAATCAAATTACTTCATTACGTAATTAACCCAAAGTTTTTCATGTAATTCTTGGTGATTATTAATATTATTATTTATTACACTTGTAAACACGATTTTTTTCATGTCAAACATCACTTTAGCATGTTATTTCTCAACTAAAACTGGTTAAAAGGAATAATAAATAATAACATATTGAAAATAAAGATAAATAAAAATAATTGAAGCGCAATAAAAGTGTTTTCTTTGACGTGAACTCTTATAAAAGCAACAGCCCAATAAAGGTGTCTCTCCATTTACTACTCATAACTATCGTGAACTTTCTGTTACGCAATGCAATTGGTTGTAATTAACAATGGGGGAGGAGCTAACAATTTAACTTTTAGACTATATAAAATGAACGTTGGGTAACCAATTTAATCAATTTGTTTTGAGCAGCTCATTATTAAACGTTTGAATCTGCACTTATTAAAGAATTTCTAAAAATTAAAATTTTTTAATTAACGGACGCTAATTTTGACTACAAAACTTTTAGAACGGTCTACAAACGTTTCAAAAGACTCATTAAAATTCTTAGTACTGCTAATGTAATTATAGTAAGAATGGAAAATAGATGGTCATTGGGCACTAAGATGTTACTGGATGAGATCCCGCGTGAAAACAATGCCACTGATGCAGTTGGCCTAAATGACTCACAAAACACAAACATCCACATTAGCAAAAACAACAACACCAGAAAACCATCAATATTCAGTTCAGTCAATTTGCTTGTCCAATCGTCTGGAGAAAAACTGACAACAAATAATAACGCCTTCAGTTTGATGCAACGTTATCAACACCTCTCCACCACAGCACACCTCTTGCTCACAATTTAAAATGCAACACAAAACTTCAAACGAACAAATGCAATGAAACTTTCATAAACACGGCCAACACTCCACAAAATTTCAACAGCAGCAGCAGTTGCAGTTAGTTTCAATCTCAACAGCAACAAGACTCTGGATTTCAAAGTGGAAACAGCAATTTATTCAGTGGAACATCAATTGATCTTCTCGAAACACCAACGAAACTTTTTCCAACTCCTCCAACAGCAAGAGTTTTGTGGCAAATAAATTTCTTCCCCAGTCAAGCAAGCGGATTTGTTTGCAGGAAAAACCAGTTGAAAGCAACGTTGAACTGGTGAACGGTGGACGAGGAATAAAGAACCCACTACTGCAGAACCACCTGATCAAACAGTTGCACGAAGGACAAGATCTCAGTAAGTACATTATGAGCGATAATGAACAAATAAATCTTACTTATAATACTAACCATATGATTTTCAATTGTACATGTGTGGAGACAGAAGACAACAAGTTCTTATGTCGAGTATGTTTGAAGAGCTTTCCTTTGCAGCGACTTCTCAATCGCCACGTCAAGTGCCACACGGACATCAAACGCTACCTGTATATAGTCATTTTATTTTTATTTATTGACATTATTGTTACATGTACACTAATGTTTTGATATTTGCTGAATTTTGAATTTATACATTCAATTTAAATTTTTTATCATTGCTTTTATGTGGATATTTATGTATTTTCTTTTTTGACATAAATCAGATTTTCACTATGTAATAAATATTTTTTTAAATTTCAAATCAACTTCATTGATATGTCAAGTTAACAAAAATGGTAACAGAACCAATTTTGTTTTTTAGAAAACACCGTTTTAATGTTCATGGCAATTCATGGCTTTGTTTTCTTATGTTTAACGATTCGAAAGGTTTACGAATTACTCCAGTTTTGTGTGCTTGGGTCTTATTAGTCGTTTAACGGCTATATATAAATCGAAAAGTTGAACCTAAAGTTAACTTACTTAACTAACTAAGTTAACTTTTAACTTAATTTAACTTAAGTTAGGATATAGTTTAGGAACAATACCTTTAAATTGCGAATTACACACACATTTTGAGCAGTTTCTAAATACAAATATAATGGCGTTGTTTTATTTTTGTACCACACTGTGCACTTTTTGCATGGAAATTTTACTTATCTGGTAGTAGTATGATGTCATTTTTAGTTGGGTTGGTGTGAGAACTAATTTTTTGCACTTTATTTTTTGATGGTATATTGGTGCGTCTGCTTATAAAAAGTTGTGTGAAATTTTTTTCATGTCATTTGTAAAATGTTGTAACCATAATTACATTTTTTGTATGTATATTTTCTGCATGTTGCATGTTGCAACATTCCTAATTTTTATATTTATTTGTATCATAGCTGGTTCTGTCAGATTCTTGCATAAAATAGGAATACTTAACTAAAAGTTGTGAGGCGGACGTCGTATGTGCACATTAATTAGTCTGGGTGTTATTTGTTTAGTGTCTGTGTTGGTGTTTGTGTGTTGTTGATATGTTGTTTTGTGGTATGCGTGTGGTTTGTACGTTGTATTTACTAGGTCCGTGTCATGTCATGTTAATGAGCATAAAATTTTTGAAAGTAAATCTATTAAATTTCTTGGAATTTTTCTTGACAAAAAACTAATTTATCGCAATCATGTTGATCACATATCTAGCCAACTTGCTAAAGAAATTGCATGGTGTCACCAACAAAATACATCCTTTCGAATTAACAACAACTTTTTACACGGTCTATAATTCGATATCCTTTTTAAACATGTGTCATACTGCAAAACAGTTTGGGCAGAGACGACGATGACTATTTCATCAGGACGTTGAGAAAAAGAGCAATAAGAATAATCACCATACCCACAAAACATCCTAGCAGAAACCTTTACTGGTGGCTACCAAACATTTAAACTATGACCAATGATATTTTATTTGTACAGCCAATTTTGTTTATAAACAACTCATTGGAAAATTACCACAAATATTCAACGATTATTTCAAACATCTTAGTAATAAAGAAAACAAAAACTACATCAGATCAAACAAATCCAAAACAAATATTCCATTTCATCATATACTGCTAGAGTGCCAAAAATCTGAAATCAGCTGCTAAAATATGACTTTCATTACGATTCAACATCACCTTCTGAATTAAAAAAAATCCTGACATCCTATATCGCCGCGCCGATTCGTGAACATTTACTTTTGTTTTATGCTCTAATGACTTACGTTTAACAGATAATTAAAAATTCATTTTTTCTGATATGAAATTTTCATATTTGTTAACATGCCAATAATATGAATATTATGTTATTTATTGTTAAGGTGACGGTAAATCTAAAGATCTTTCTTTACAGACATTCTGGACCTTTTATTTTGTTTTGAGATCAAATAAATGTTTGCTTGGTGTTTGTTTCTGTTGTGCTGTTTGTTATTTGTATAAAGATTACGTGAAGCACCTTGCTTGCGTAAGAGTGTTTTATTATCATCAAATTTAGGAAAGACGGCTGTCTAAGAGGGCTTATGATTTTCAGGAAATATTTTTGAAGTTATTTGTGCCTTTTAAAAAACTCAAGTTTATTTGACTGACAATTTAGCTAATTTCAAGTTTCGTGGCGTAAGTTCTTTATTAAAGCAATGAACTAGTTATATTTTTTAATTCATTCACTGTTTTAAAAAAATTTATTTTTAACAACTTTTGTTTTGTAATTTCGCCGATCAACAATATCCACTAACAAAATCACACAAGCACATTGTTTTGACCAAAACCGAATTCAAAGATACCCAATCGGTTTTTTAATTCTCTTCATGCCATACTTATTTTGAAAATGCAATAGCATATATAATAAATTAATATAATATGAATACAACCTTTAAAAAACAATTTGTATTTACAAAAGGATGTTTTACTCAACCCATTTATATTTTTAAATTTGAAGCAAACACTTTTCAACAGTTTTAAATATTTGCATATTGTGAATTTAATTCAAATATTAAAACATAAAACTTTTAAAAATAATTAAGCATTAATAATGGTTGGTTGGTAAATGATATCCTTTATTACAACGCTGCTGTTGAACTTTAAAAGATGAACTACAATCAATCAAAATAACTTTCTCAATTTGGTTTGAAGCTGCGCAACTAATTCAGTTCTTTCCACCAAAGAATAAATAAATTAACGCTTAAAGGTTTAATTGCATTGACGAGACAACATTGCAGTAACAAGGGGGAGGATGAGGGACCATAATACAGCTGCACATGCACCATCAAACCCACCCACCTACTTTCAGACATTTGAGAAGAAAAGATGAGATGATGATAAATTGGTGAGGGTACCTTCAATGGATCAGTGCTTTAGGCGTGTCTTTTGTCATATATCATTTGTTATATATTTTAATGGAATTGTGGCTGTGTTTTCATGTTAATGTTATGAACGACACATTTATTATCTACCACCGATAACGCAAAAAATAGAATAAACAATCAGATTGACAACCGCATACAAACAGTTAAACAGTGCATATATACAAAGAAACAGCATATGCAAATCATTAACAAACCGATAAACATTGCATAGAACAAATAAACAGAGCGTTATTTAAATACTTGTAGTCTACGTTAGAAAACGGACATTCGACCAGCAACAAAGGTACATCAACTTATCAAATTACATTTCAAGTAACGTATCGATTAACAGGAAGTTACTTCTTTCTTTCCCAGTTGACACTAACTTTATTCGAAGATATATTTCGACCAGACATAAATGCATCATGCTTCAAAGCAAACATCGCATCAGATTTTTGCCTCAACCGTAAAATTTTTTCTTTCTCATGAATCATGAACTGAAATGGACAACCAAATTTTGTTCCGTTAGAATAAAAAAACAACTTAGAACAAGATGTTCTCAACTTTGCCAAAGCACAAAACTTTCTTAACTAACAACTTTTAAATAATGCTGTCAAAAACAACGATAAATAAGACAAAAACCAGCTATAACACCATCAACATTGATTGCGTCAACGTTATTGTGTGATTGAATGTTATATTCAGCTGTTATATAGAAGCTGACCATCCACTTGAACCAGCTTAACTGATCTAAATGAAATAGTTTGTTAGGAATGAGACATTCAATCGGATTGGCTCGTTATGCAAGTCTTCAATTAATTCAAGTTGCAAAATAATTTTTAAAACAAAGCAATAAAGATTTATATTCAATTTCTAGACCTAACAGAAAAGCATTTAGAACAATGTTACATAGACATTGCTGAAACAAATTGAGAAAAACATTTTGTCAGCAAATTGTGCATGATGAATATCTTAATAGTTATCTAAAAATAAGCAGGAACATCAAAGGGGCGATCCAATTTTTTTTTCCTTCTGACGTAATAATTAAGGTTGTGTAATTCAACGAGGGCGCTCATTGAAACAACTTCGAAGTTCTGTCAGCAGATATTTTCTATAGAATATTAAAAGAAGATTGAGGTTTGTGTTCATATGTGTCTCAACAGAATTTTATTTCATGCTTGTTTTCAAAAACTTATATAAATTCAAAGGAAGTAAGCTGAAGAGTTTGAAGTCGGCAACGGATGTATGCAATGGATCATCCTGCAGCCAACCAACCCATCAGTCCATCAGCGTACAATAGATCAAACATCGCCAATATTTGCTTGGTATCGCCCACACTATTTTTGTTCCTCACTTCATATCACGTTGAATCTCCAAGTTACGTAACATCAAAGAAGTGCATGTTATTCTCTCCACGCAACAACAAGTTTATAAACTCTCCTTGAATTTTTTAGTCCTCTTTTATTTATCAATAAATGTGCACCCACCAAATTTTTGTATTATTCAACTGAACGAAGATGTTTCAGAGGGACAAGTTTAAAATTAGAGTAAACTAAAATGCATTTAAGTTTGAATTAATGTGACGATATCAAAATTATGTTTGCTAAAGACAAAATATATTTTTAAAACAACCGGCGAATATTTTATCACCACATTTCAAAAAGTTAGAGGTTAGATCATGTACAAACATTAATATTTCTGATGGTAAAATAGATAATATAAGTTACAATAAATAATCTTTTTACATTAATTTATATTGTTCAATTGTATTAAAAAACATATGTACTTAAAAAATTAATATTTTCAAAAAACATTTTCCAAGCATTTCTAACAAGAACGTGTTTCAGTGAAATAAGTTTTGTAGATGAATAAATGAATCATTTTCTTTTTTTTTATTCATTTTACTTTTTATTTATATTTTTGTTAATGTGCATGCATTTTTTTTGTTTGCCTTTGTAAATAAACATTACTATATTGCCCAATAATAGAGGAAAGTGTTAAAATCAACTTTTGACAAACCGTCAAATTTTGAAGGGCATTTCGCAGGTTGACAGAACGAACAAGACAGATAGAAAGAAACAAACAAGAAAATTAGAATTCACGTTAGGTTATTAAGAAAGAGCACTGGAAGGTGTTATGACACCACGAAAGTGATTTCAAGATGATGTTTAACAGTTTCATTCATAGGAAAGTTGCCAGGGTAATGCGTTGTAACACCTCGTTATCTACGTAGGCATGTACTTTCAAGTCAACGTTGCGTGTGTGTGAGTGTGTTTGTGTGTGAGAGTTTGTGTGTGTGTGTGTGGGAGTGTGTGTGTGTGTGAGTGTGTGTGTGTGTTTGTACTCAACAGTACTCAACAAAGATATGAATTGAAAAAATGAAAAAATTTATTTACAACATGAAATTATTCATTACTATTTACAGTATCAAAATACAAAATTCAATTTATATACAATTCGTTAAATATATAAAATTAAACAACATTTGTAATAATAGAAAATAAAATTTAAAAATATATTTTTAAAAAATAGTCATCAGATTGACATTAGGCGAATCCGCAATAGCAGCTTCATGACGAGGAATGTTTGAACATTCGTCGGACGTATGCACGTGTGGATGTTGGTCCTTCATGTGAACAAAATGCTCCTCAGACTGTCTCGTCGAGTGACCACACTCCTCACACACGTACAACTTATCTCTCCTTTCCTTGTGCTTGTAATTGAACTGAACGTTGTGCACCTTCCGCGCGTGTGACTCCAGTGAACAACGTTGTGTGAATGCCTTGTCACAATGCTCGCATTTGTATGGACGAACTCCTGCATCAATTTTAAATTCAACAAAGTTATGTTTCAATTAATCATAATCAATTCATTTGTAATTTTTTTTGAGAATCTTAAAAATCAGAAAAAGAAATATGTAAATGAAAGCCAACCAGTGTGTGTTCTTGCGTGTCTCTTCAAGTCAAAAGTGTCGTTGAACCCTGCCACAAAATGTGCAGAGGTAGCGTTTGATGTCCGTGTGGCACTTGACGTGGCGATTGAGAAGTCGCTGCAAAGGAAAGCTTTTCAAACAAACTCGACATAAGAACTCGTTGTATTTTGTCTGCACACCTGTACAATTGAAAATCATATGGTTAGTATTATAAGTTCGATTTATTTGTTCATTATCGCTCATGATGTACTTACTGAGATCTTGTCCTTCGTGCAACTGTTTGATCAGGTGGTTCTGCAGTAGTGGGTTCTTTATTCCTCGTCCACTATTCACATGTTCAACGTTCCTTTCAACTGGTTTTTCCTGCCAAAAGATTTGCTTGCTTGAATGAGAAAGAACTTCATTTGTTTGCATGGGTGTATACAAAAATGTAGCGTTGAAACTTTGGAACCCAGAATCCATTCTTGATTTACTGAGATGAGGAGTGCTGAACATCGGCGGATAAATTGGGGAGGGCATGACAAAGGACGATTCATCAAGTTTCCTTCGTTTGCTGAACTTGTTTTCAACATCAACTCGGATGAGTGGAGTGCTTCTACAAGAAGGAGACAAAAATGTTTCTTTCTCGGCACGGCTTCTCTTCAAATTTGACGCACGAACGAACGATTGATCGTACGTATATTGCTGGGGTGCACAGTGTCTCCGTTCGTTTTTGAGTGAACTCACATTTTGAATTGGTGCCAAGATATGCTGTATGCTGTATTGGCTGCAGCTGTTGGCATCTGTTTGTTCTTTATGATCGCAATTTCGAATATTTGCTTGTGATAAATCAGTTAATAACAAGTTACTTGAGGCACAATTGGATGGTGCAAAAGATGAACAACTTGATCCTAAGGCTGGTGAATGAATGAATGATGGGGCGAAGTTATTAGATGGTGAGGACGTTGATGATGATAATGGTGTTGATGATGATGATGGTCTTGTTGTTGTTGATGATGATGATGGTGATTTTAATAATGAAGTTGATGGTGATAATGTTAATGTTGACGATTTTACGTTGTCCGATTTTGCGAGCAGTTCTACTGAACTGAAGATAGATGGTTTCTTCAAATTATTATTCATCTTTAATTCTGCTTTTTCTATTTTGTAAATAGTATCCTTCAATTTGCTTGGTTTAAAATTTTTAGTTAAATTAATTTCAACTTAATACAGATGATCTAGCAAATATTTGTATGTTTCTTTAATCAATTGTATGGTTAAATCAATCTGGAAGAGTTTTTCAACTTTGATTGCTCGTGTGTCTTCACTCCACCATTATATAGTAGCTGCTCTAATTGGCTCCTCCCACATTATTGACAACCAATAAGGCGCTGCTCAATCTAACAACGCGTGCCACCGACGTCTTTATTGACCTGTCAGAGTTTGTGCATTTTTTCTGTTAGATATTATTAGAAATTAAAACAAGGACCGAGAGTTGTAATGCACTTACTTAATTGAATAATTGACTGGTGTTTTGTTTATTGGTATTTACTTAGTCACTATTTACCAGCATATTTTATTTCAGTATTTTCAACAATGATTCTATAGAAGTTACGACGTAAAAATGGTTTGAGCTATAAAATTGTTTCAAATGCATTAAGAAAAGTTTGGAAGCGGCGTGTCCAAAATCGTTGCATTGTAAAAATGTCATAATCGATAAATTTTATGACGTTCTGATTAGCGGTTGTTTTGAGAAACATTTAATTCTACTAGTTAACAGTTGGTGGTTCAACGCTATAACGCCGTTCCATCAATATCGTATCTTTTATAAACAGGTTTATTCTTAACAATAATATTAAAAAAATCATGAAAAGGATACCTAAAAAAGCAATTTTTTTAATTAAGATAGTATCCCACTAAAAAACATCAGTTCAATTATTTCACCTAAACTTCGACTAAAAAGAGAAAATTTCACATAGATTAAACGACAAAAAAATTTATATATATCAAATATAAAAGGCAATTCAATTAACTTTTTAGTTTAAATTTAAAAACATTAAAAGTTGAACATTCTCCAACATAAAAAGGAAGCTGATTCCAATTTGAGCATTCTTAGTAACAGATATTTCTCTTCCGCAGTTTGCTCCGACATATCATTCGATGAAGTTTTGAGTCGATCGATGATCTTGTTCCTTTCTTACCCTTTTGTTGGTCCACTTTAGCGAGGATATCAGGTGGACATCGTCAATGTGGTCGATGTTGTACAACATCAACATTTCAACAGCTGAATGTCAAACCTTTGCGCAAAAGAATTCGAAAGAAAAAAGTTTTTTTTTCAACCGTTTAAAAAAGAGGATTTGAGAGAAAATAAAGGTTTTTCTTCAACCATTTAAAAAAACGTCTCACGACGAATTGGGTCAAACAAATATGGTGGCAATTGCTTCTTTCAAACAAGCTCAGAAATCTAACCTGAAAGAATTGTGAAATACGAGTGAACATTTAAAACAAATCTCCAAATTAAAAAATTAATATAACAGTTTATTAAACAAAATTTTAAAAAAGATTTGTTCGAGAAAACAATGAGATAGAAACAAAATATTAAATTAAGCAAAACAAAAAAAATACCAAAAATTTTCAACTTTTTTTACTAGGCCGTAATTATAAGATACCAGCATCTGCATGTGAATGAGCCTTTTTTTTAACATAAATTTGATTATTTTGTTAAAAAGTTTGGAAAATATAAACTGCTCAAATTATCATCAACGGTAATTTTTACAATTGATCCTGCGTTAAATCTATTGGATGTTCAGTTAGTTGAGCAGAAGTTTTCAAAATAAAAAATTTGATTACACACACTTTAATAAACTACTTGCAATACGAATTACAACTTATTAAATGGATAAAACATAATGTGGGTTCGAAAATGTAGTTGGGACAAAAATGGAGATGAAATGTATGCTGGATGTGGAGTAGTCAGGACCATGTGACCAGGATTGAATGTAATTGGTCTATTTGTCGCGGAATTAAGTGTAGGCTAAGCATTAAAAAATAATAAAGTTGTAAATAATGAAAACAAAATGAAAAAAATTGTCATTCAAAATGTTTTATTGATTCACAAAATAAAAGTTGTAAATAACTATTGCGTTTTGATTCAAATTTTTAAATTACACAGATTCATTGAAAAAATAAAAAAGCAAAAACAAAATAAAAAAGCTATGTAAACAATTTGAAGGTAACTGTTTAGGAAACCCACGTCGCACAGGCCGTTAAGAAGAGTTTGAAGAGAGCTGCCAACCCGCTCTTGTTACGTGAGCACTGTCAGTCGTACATTGTAATTTCTCAACCTTAGAACACGTTAATATGATTAGCAGTGCTGAATGATGGCTGCTGAGATTTTATCGCATTGAAGTGTTTGCAGGGAATGTGAGCTTGTGCTTGCTGGTATCTGTGGTCGTGTTCTTTTCTTCGAATTCATTTGTTTGGTTCTTCAGTTCTAAATCTTTCATCGATTTTGTCATTGAATGAATGAATAAATGAATGAATGAATGAATGAATAAATGAATGAATGAATGAATGAAAGAAGGAAGGAATGAATAAACGAACGAACGAACGAACGAAAGAATGAATGAATGAATGAATGAATAAATGAATGAATGAATGAATGAATGAATGAATGAATGAATGAATGAATGAATGAATGAATGAATGAATGAATGAATGAATGAATGAATGAATGAATGAATGAATGAATGAATGAATGAATGAATGAATGAATGAATGAATGAATGAATGAATGAATGAATGAATGAATGAATGAATGAATGAATGAATGAATGAATGAATGAATGAATGAATGAATGAATGAATGAATGAATGAATGAATGAATGAATGAATGAATGAATGAATGAATGAATGAATGAATGAATGAATGAATGAATGAATGAATGAATGAATGAATGAATGAATGAATGAATGAATGAATGAATGTGCTAGTGTTTGTAAAGTAGGTTCATCCTGTTATTTTCTGTGCAATAAGATAATTTTGGTGGGTGACAGCATACAAATCTTTTGTCAACTTGCTATGTAGTTTTCGTTTGTGTATGTGTGTGAGAGAGTGTGTGTGTGACGAGTTACTGAATGAATGAACGTATGAACAAACAGAGGTTTACATGGGCTCAGGTTCCTAAGGCTGGTTTACCCAGTTATTTTTTATGCAATGAGATTAGCTGCAGGGGTGACAACGTAAAATCTTCTATCAACCATCAAGTTGTTTTTGCTTGTGCAGCGTCATTGCGTGCAGATGCGCAAGTCTGAGCTGTGTAAACGTTCATGATTATGATTACATTAAATTGTTCTCTCAATAAACATTGGAAACAAGCGTTAATAGCCTTTCGCATTGTTAAAACTGTTTCGTTTCAAAATTAGCACACGTTTATATTACGACTATCTGTATCTATATGTGTAACTTTTTGTATTTATGTGATGATGATGCGTGTGGTTTGAGGTGTGTCTGTAATACCTGAATGTAATCGAATCAACATGGCCAACAAGCGGTTGCAAATATTTGAGCTGCTATGTTTTTTCGTGAAAAAATAAATTCTTTTGAAAATGAATAGTTAATTTTATAATTCACGCCAAAAACTGTTAGCAAACTGGATTTTGAAAAAAAGGAAATTGTTTCGCTGAAACAAGACAAGTTGGAAACAAAAAAATTGACAATGTTTTAGAACTAATTCAGATATTTAAATTCATAATATCAAATGACTTAATACAAAATTACCACATTCGTCATTTTAAACTTGAAAAAAGTTCCTTGAGAATGGGAAAATAATATTTAAATATTATTAAAATTAAT